AAATTGGAACTGAAAACATTTGAAACCCCTGAAAACTCGAGTAGATTTTAATGTGTAATTAAATGTTTTATAAATATTGAAATTGGGGCGAACTGTCTATGACGTGGACTGATATTATTTTTAAAAATCGCCTGAATTATGATCAAAGAAATACATTTCTGTTCAATACTTAATATTGATAAATACGTCTATGTATTTATTTGTCTATTTACTTACGATTACGTTTTTAAATACTCATCGAATATTCGAGATAAGCAAAAAGTGTCGAAGAAACAAATTACGGAGATGTAACAAACAATGGGCGCGCATCATTGGAATTAAGCACGGAACGCCAGAAATTAATCAGTTTCGTAAAACGTGCGCGTGTGTGGTCGTGTTAGACGTTCATTTGTTTCAACGAGAGTTGGTCAACATCGCGACGCTGGTTCCATTAGCTTGAATAGAGTAATTGGACACTGTCAATTCGAGAACGTAATTCTCTCCGTAAATAGGGACTAACGATTTTGCTTAGAATTCATGGAAATGGAGCATTTACGACTGCTGCATTTTCCCGCATGCATCTAACCAGAAATCGAGAACGTACAGACTGATCAGAAAATGACGTTTACAAAATATACCAAGTCTCGAATCTAATAAAAATGTCGCGAGACTTTTAACTTGAATAAATTATTTCATTTAAAATAAAACTAAAAATGTAGGTACTTCTTTAATTCATTTTTAATCATTTTTAATTTCCCGACAAAATCACAATGGCTAGCTTTCGATCGTTATAAAGTGCTTCGTGGCGTGTGAATTGATTTAAGTAATGACAATATTCGAATCACCCTATAACTGTGTACGCGCATGACTTGTTCGTTTTCCTATTTGTTGAAACGCCAGTAAACCTGGATAAATGGAAATGTTCGATCTCTCGCGCGAGGCATTGGAAGTTTTAACACCCCCCTCCGACAATGGTTCCCTTATGCTTCCCTGGAAATTCGTTTTCCACCGGAAAAATGTGAAACGATGTTTGGAATTTATACATATACCAAAATGGGGACTGGTGGCCGGGTGCGGTAACTGTAGCGCAATCAAGCCGAAGTACCATTCATAGACGGAAGACGATAACATAACTGAAATTCGATTAGTCGTTCTATCGTTTCGCGAATCACCGGTTTATCACCGACAGAGCGCGAGGGTAAACGGTTATTTCCCTCGCTTCACTTCGCGGTAATCGGTTCCAGTTTCAGCTCTTGCGCCGATGTCAGATAAGTGAAAGCAGCCAGGAGCTGCTGGGGATCTTTGTACATCCTGGGGTTCGTTCAATTGTGAAATTAAATGTGATAACGACCGTCCTAATTTCAGCACTCGTCGGGGCTGAGCCACGGCCGCAACGGCACGTGTATCACGAAATGCCAATTAGCGACGAGAAAATGAACTGCGTGAATGCCACGCTATTTGATATTCTCAAATTAATCAGCCCCGGTCTCTCATCCGACCGATGTCTCGTGTGATGGGGTCTGATTACGGTGACAGTTTGGAGAAACTGAACACCGCGGGGCTCCAGTGCGAATGTTTAATGCTGGAAAGTACTGTCCGCTCGCTGTTGGTCTTTAACCATCTGCTCGAATAATTCCCACATCGAAATTCTTTGAGTCGAACCACAGGCATTCGAGTAAATACATCTTCGTTCGTAATACTAGGAATTGTTGGTTTATTATTACATTAAATTCAATACGTAGCAAGAATTATTTACACATTCCCCCAAACCTTAATATTCTACTTAACACTTTCACTGCCACGTCATCCATATGTGAGTGACAGAATTTACCATTGTAATACTAGAAAAATTAATTCTCGAAATACGATGTTGAGGGAAATAAAATTTGATAGAGTTTGGTGAATTTTAAGAAGGTTACGAAAATAAATTGTAAGTTATGTATCATACAATGGTCCAAAATCAAAATTTTATCGAATAATTCCCACATTGAAATTCTTTGAATCGAACCACAAGCATTCGAGTAAATACATCTTCGTTCGTAATACTAGAAATTGTTGGTTTATTATTACATTAAATTCAATACGTAGCAAGAATTATGTACACATTTCTCACAAACCTTAATATTCTACTTAACACTTTCACTGCCACGTCATCCACATATAAGTGACAGGATTTACCATTGTGATACTAGAAAAATTAATTCTCGAAATACGATGTTGGGAGAAATAAATTTGGATAGAGTTTATGAATTTTAACAAGGTTATGAAAATAAATTGTAAGTTATGTATCTTACAATGGTCTAAAATCAAAATTTTATCGAATAATTCCCACACCGAAATTCTTTGAGTCGAACCACAAGCATTCGAGTAAATACATCTTCGTTCGTAATACTAGAAATTGTTGGTTTATTATTACATTAAATTCAATACGTAGCAAGAATTATTTACACATTCCCCCAAACCTTAATATTCTACTTAACACTTTCACTGCCACGTCATCCATATGTGAGTGACAGGATTTACCATTGTAATACTAGAAAAATTAATTCTCGAAATACGATGTTGAGGGAAATAAAATTTGATAGAGTTTGGTGAATTTTAAAAAGGTTACAAAAATAAATTGTAAGTTATGTATCATACAATGGTCCAAAATCAAAATTTTAGTTTTACAGAATATTATACAGTTTTGATCTGGCAGTGAGTTAATCCTAAAAATTAAAGATGTTATACCTTCGTCTTTGAAATGTTTTGAGAACATACCACCTTTCAGGAGTATTTCACAGCTATAACACGATAAGACGGAAAGAAAGTGGTTTCGCCTAGGGGCTGCCACAGTCAGATCAAAATTAACAAATCGCTCGAGGCCGCTAAATTAGTTATCCTCATCGTATCGTTTAATTAGATCACCGTTCTATCTCTTGTGTTTAAGCGTAATCGTACAAGTATGCTTCGTCTAGCTTTTAGAGGTTTCTGTCGTCTGTAACTCTCTGTTCAACGCAATAGCAAAATAACGAGTTGGAAATTACGACTTTATTTAAATATTATTCATCGTACATAATCTCTAATTATATTTAATTTTTAGCTACGTAATGCATTAACTCGAGTGAGAATGTCTTATACGATAAAAGAACGGTAAAAATCAGTCGAACTTGTACACTTATTAATACTTTCATGAATGTTTACGCATGATAGAGAAAAATAGTTTCGTATTCGCATTTAACTTAAAGTTTTAAGACGTCGCTTGAAAGTTACGATCAAGGAAGCGAGCATTTTGTCACGAATGCTCAATTTATACCGTCGCAACTGCAGTGAGATTGATACGTGTGTCGCTACGATTTTCCCGAAGCCATTTACATTATTCCTCCGATACGTACACGACTTATGTCGTTAATATTTTGCAACAATACTTCGACCTACTTTATACCATTATACCGATTGCTCCGAAAGATTTGTCGACAACGATCGAAAGTCCAATATACTTAATGGAAGGTCGAACGCATACGGTTGACCTAAGAAGGGTCTCGTTTGTATCGGATCGATTTGAAATTTTTCCTCGTCTTTGTTTTTGTGCCAGGAATTGTGCCAACTGTGGCAGAATTTGAATTTTATTCGGAAGTAAAATATAATAGGATTTGGCTGATTGGTTCGGCAATTCGCTTGTACGAGCTAAACCGGCAAAATACCGCATTACGTGATTAATTCCGTCCGTGGCAATCTCCATGGATATTTTGTTGTGCAACTACGAACGAGTATTTACGCAATTATAATTTCATTTCATTATAGTGTCACGTTTTCAATCTCCATTTTCTATGGAGTTAACAAAAACGAAGATTCCATCATTTTATAATGCACTACGACAAATATTCGCGCTTATAATTTCTAATTTATGAACACGAGCAAAAGGAAATTAATTTTACGAAAAATTTTAAATAAGATTATTACATATTTGGCAAACTATTGATCTTTGAAAGTACCGTAGAAGTAACTAAGCTGCTCGAAGATCGTCAAACGAAGATTTAATAATGTTATAATGTACGACAAATATTCGCGCTTATAATTTCTAATTTATGAACACGAGTGAAAGGAAATTAATTTTACGAAAAATTTTAAATAAGATTATTACATATTTGGCAAACTATTGATCTTTGAAAGTACCGTAGAAGTAACTAAGCTGCTCGAAGATCGTCAAACGAAGATTTAATAATGTTATAATGTACGACAAATATTCGCGCTTATAATTTCTAATTTATGAACACGAGTGAAAGGAAATTAATTTTACGAAAAATTTTAAATAAGATTATTACATATTTGGCAAACTATTGATCTTTGAAAGTACCGTAGAAGTAACTAAGCTGCTCGAAGATCGTCAAACGAAGATTTAATAATGTTATAATGTACGACAAATATTCGCGCTTATAATTTCTAATTTATGAACACGAGTGAAAGGAAATTAATTTTACGAAAAATTTTAAATAAGATTATTACATATTTGGCAAACTATTGATCTTTGAAAGTACCGTAGAAGTAACTAAGCTGCTCGAAGATCGTCAAACGAAGATTTAATAATGTTATAATGTACGACAAATATTCGCGCTTATAATTTCTAATTTATGAACACGAGTGAAAGGAAATTAATTTTACGAAAAATTTTAAATAAGATTATTACATATTTGGCAAACTATTGATCTTTGAAAGTACCGTAGAAGTAACTAAGCTGCTCGAAGATCGTCAAACGAAGATTTAATAATGTTATAATGTACGACAAATATTCGCGCTTATAATTTCTAATTTATGAAGATGAGTAAAACGAAATTAATTTTACGAAAAATTTTAAATAAGTTTATTACACATTTGGCAAACTATCGATCTTTAAAAGTACCGTAGAAGCAACTAAGCTGCTCGAATATCGGATCGAAGATCGTAGGAGTGGGACAATTTGAACTTGTATGTTGTTTGGGAGTGGTACGAGCAACTCGTCGACGATCACTATAAGAGACATCCATGGAATTATTATGTTTCAGCTCTACCCGAAAGCAAGCCCATTATCGTATCGGAACGTGAACGTTACAACTCAGGGGAGACTTTGAGGGCAAATTGTAGCTTGCCACCCTCGAAGCCGCCAGCTCATCTCTCATTCACCCTGAACAACGTGGTGGTAAGTGATACCTATAATCCACGCGTCATTATTGAATCCACACTTACGGCGAAACCGTGAAATTAATCGTGCAAAAGTGTTATTACACAGAGTCGGGCACCTTGCGTTATCGCTGCAAACACCCCTGTTGTTCTGTACAATTTTAAACAGCATTTTAGATATTCTTCGCGCGTTAAAATCATCGCCATCTTTAGATCTTCGTACGATTTAGACGTTTCGGTAAGCATAACACTATCTTGGATAAATAGTACACATTTCGTTTCTGAAGTTTCGTTCATGCCGTGGAATTCTGCAGGAAGATAATGTTCCAAGTAACTTAAGTAGTATAGTATTGAACGAACTTTGCATAAATGTACTGATACGAACTCGCAGTTTGAATGGTAGCTTTAACAAGTCCAACTAGGTCTGGGGATGACACTTGATTCTGCAATATCTGAATATTCATTCATTCGTAAACTGAAACGGGTCTTTTAATATGTACTTAAATAAAACTCGCGATATTCTACTATTCTAAAATTCTACGATTGTTGATTGCTGTATTTGAACTAACAGTTTATTAATATTTGTCGTTACTTTGACGTATCGTTGACTCGACGCTGGCGCTATCTATACTGCGGAACTTGCCTTTAAAGATTCATCGGCCATTTTGGCGAGAATTTCCGTCGATTACGATATTTGCCTCTTCGAAATAAATAATTTCGTCCAGGTATGCTTCTTCTTCCTATCTAAATCAATTTTCAGTGATAACATTGGGCGCTCGGCTCTATGTGCACACACGTGCACACGGCTGAAGTAATTGCACTATATACGAGGAGAACGTAGAAGTTATCGCAGTATGAAAGTTTGAGGAGCCGCTCTATAAAAGTTAAGGAGGTTAAGCAAAGAAGAGAACTTTTCCTCTTGAAAAATCTTTCCGGGCGCACATTCTATGGGTCTGTGTATATTAGCCGATGTCTCCTTTCACGAAGAATTTGTTTCTCATAATTTTTAAATTCCGTTCCATTTGAACGATTGCTCCAGAGAGGATCTGCATTCGTACACCGCAACGGTGATCTTTCCATTTATTTTTACCAAATGTTGTTTATTGCGCTGTGTTTTCTTTTAAATTTATTCAAACGCAAACTCTTAATCTCAATGATTTATGCCAGTTCCAAAAACAACCGTTCGATTCCTGACAAGTTTTTTCCTCCATTTAGTGAAATGAATCATCATTATAGCGTACGAACACGAGCGGGAGTAGCGGTAAACGTATGACTTTTCGTTCCCGCGGATAATTGAATTCTAATTGAATAAATGAAATTAGAGACTCGCGAAAAACGTCGACCAAGTTTCCACGGTAACGGAAACAGGGACGTAGCTGTTGGCGATGCATTACCCATAATCCCAGGGGATGACAACGAAGGATCTCATTATCCGATACGGCTAAATACGTATAACCGCGAAATGAAATGTTCTCCGCATTCGGATCGCTCGTCCGCCCGTGAAGTTTTGTTTAACCAACTTCGACCGAGACTGACATTTTACGAAAGCTTGCTTCCACACGAATATACGGTAGAGTTCCGATTATCGGGCACCGGGTTATCCGGAATGTCATAATAACCGGCATATTTATCCCGACTTCGGTAAATGTTACAAATTACATTTCATACAAGCAAAGAAGTCACAGCTGCATGAATCCAGCAGTGACGTCGATACTAAACAGTTGATAAAATTGAAAAAATTATTTTCCGTTGCAGGGGTCAATTACAATCATTTTTGGTCAATAGGTACACCCACGAAATTCTACTCAGTTTCGAGAAAAAAATTCATTAATGAAAATATAATGTCTGACCAGGAATATTCTAGTTTGAAAAAAAAAATTCAAATCGTTCTAAAAAAAATATTTTCGGCTGCGGGGGTCAATTACAATCATTTTTTGTTAATAGACACACACGCGAAATCCTACTCAGTTTCGAGAAAAGAAATTCTTACCGAAAATCTAATGTCTGACCATACATTGATATGTTCTCCTGAAATTTCATGCGTACCTTTAAAATATCATAACTTCCGAACGGATTGAAGAATTTTAATGTTCCAACAAGCAAATAACGGGTATTTTAGTGGAGAATATGTAGAAATTCTAAAAATATTCGAAAAGTTGATCCTTAACACCGTAAAGTAAGGAAAACCCCATAAAAAGTGTCCAATTTCCAAACGACCATAACTCCTATAATAGTGAATATATTTCAATGAAATTTTAAGGGAACGTAGATCTCATGGATACCTACAGAAAAGTATTAAACAACTTTTCCGCACGATGCCATACAAAATTACTAAAAATCAAAAACAAATTTTTAAGAAAAATCGACAGAGGTTAACTGCTGAAATTTTTTGGCGAAAAAAAAATTATTTTCGATCGCAGGGGTTAACTGCAATCATTTTGGTAAATAGAAATATCCCCGAAATCCTACGCACTTTCGAGAAAAAAATTTCTTACCGAAAATATAATGTGTGGCCAGATATGTTTCTGTAATTTCATTTTCTATCTCGCTTCTAATGAGTCTCTAGGGCCCCAAAAATTTGGGTGAAAGAATACATTGGATGTAAGGTGTACTCGTATACTTCGTCTGTAAATATATTTCTCGTTTTTATCACTTCACATGTAGTTGTAGTCCAATTATCCGGATTATTTGATTTTCCGGTATTGCCCCAGTCCCGACTATGCCTGATAATCGGAATTTTACTGTAATTCCTTTCGACGGGAAATATTTGTCGGTTCCGGGCACGAGTTCGCCGCGTTAAAATGTACCGAACTATCGGGAAACTGATCTTTCGCGGGCAAGAGTTTTCACGGAATACGCGCGGGGGCGTGCATGGATAAACACTTACGCGCGAATAGAACTTTTAAGGAGATGACTTTCGCCATTCTTCGATATGGAATCACTATATCGCGCGGTAATGCGATTAAGCCAGACTCTGATAGATGTATTAGGATAGCCAGAAAGTTCGTACAGTTTTTGACAATGTTTGTCATTTTACAAGACAAAACTCTATTTGATATTAGATCTGATCCATATGTGACCAATATATTCAACAGAATAGAGATGTAGCATACGTTATTTAGCACCAGGCTAGATTTAGGCAACTCATAGCTCACAATTTATTTCGGTTGACATGTACTTAATATGCCTAACACAGTGTACGTGCATAACCTACTTAGTATTGGATGTAATCCAGATGTAACCAACCCATTCTATGGAACAGAGACCTAACCTATACCATCTAGCACAGGTCTAGTTAATAGTTATAACCTACTTAATATGGTCTAATAGCTCGGGTGACATGTATACAATAGTATTACATTCGAGGAAATAACTTTCGACGTTTTCAACCCCTAAATTACTTTGTGGCGCTGTTTCGCTGCGGTGTGGAGACTCGTGAGAATCGTAGGACAGAAAAGGAAAGGGGGGAGGGGGGGGGCTAGTGGACTCATCAGTAAGGCTTTCTAGCAGGCCCTGCCTTAGACGATTAGAATATTTGGAAATCGTTCGAGGAATGTATATAATAGCAACCGAGGGGTCGGTCGAGCGCTTGTGAGAGCGCGACCCCTCTGGTGGCGAGCATGGGAGGCGACGCCACAACTTTATGAATTACTACGTCCAATACATTGTAGAATATCTCCATACGTGGTCCAGATTTAGACTGCGTATACCATTAATATATTTAATTTAATTTAAACTGTCTAATCAGTTCAGACTAATTAAACTACTTAGCTTGTAGAACACGTAAATCCGTTTAATAACGCTTTTACTGGTATACACTTACTCGTAAAAACATCTCTATTCACAGCTCTCTAGCAAAATGTGTATTCTATATGCATAATGACCATCCTGGCATGTTTAGGCCTATACACACAGCAGCTTAAACACGTTTAGGTCTATATGCATAGTAGTTTAAACATACCAGTCACACTCTCTCTCGCTCCCACGCATTGCTCTTTGCAAACATAATATATCCAGATTTCATACACGAGACATCAATTTGTCAGATGCACAATTATCGTTCCTAAACTTTTCCAACCCCTGAGGTCGAGGTCCACTGCAAATATCACAAGGGTTACGATAACAGTATATTAACATCGACAGTTGGAAATTGGGATCTGCGTGCACGAAATGGTTAAAAATCTCTCTTTGAAAAGTTAATTCGAACCTCGCGTACGTACGCGTATTTCCATACGACTCTCGCGGCAGAAACTTATCATAAAATTGCGTGGGTGAAACCGAATACGTCTCCGTCCACCGACATTGCGTTTTACTTTTATCAAATTCCATTACCTGGTCGTAAAGAAGGGTGTAAAAGAAAGAGGCGCGGAGGGGTTGGTTCGCTATTTCCTCTAACTATCAACGGTATAAGAAATCTCTTGGAATGTACGGTTATGGAGGGAAGTCGACGCCTGGTTCTTCACTAGATGAGACGGAGAAAATTAGTCGCGCGCGTGTACGCGGGCAAAGAAACGCTGTCTTATAAGGAATTGCGAGGTCTGGTAGCCGGGAGTATTGGTTTGCTGGTTTCTTACGAGAAATACTGTTTCGAGGTATTCGCCGAATTTGCAGAGAACACTCCCGGGGGGCGATAAGAAATAAGTTATTTCGCAAACAACGCTGTCTCTCTCTGGCGCGGGCGTTAGAGTGGCTTTAAACCAAATATGTGGACTTGCCTCGAAAGTGCTATCTAATTGGTACGCTGTGCATGTTTGCAGGGTCAATAAAAGAGTTTGTTCATTCCGTTGTGTACAACGAGTCTTGATTTATTATTAGCGGCTGAATGGAAAAGACTTCTCTGCGTTATTGCGTTACCGGTCGATAATATTTGACGATGCTTTACAAAATTGCAAGACAAATTTTTAAATTATCGAAGTTCCTTATTTTAAATAAATAATATATTTAAATTACAAGTGTACTACGCAATTGTTGGATTCTCCAAAGTGTATTGGAGGTTGAAGATCGGAAGGCAGTGTCCTA